TAATATTTATCATAAACAAAAACAGTATTTTGCTACATGTAACCTCTTTAATTGAAAGATTGATCAAATGAAATTTAAGTACAAAAAATGAACTAACTTCACATATATATTACAACAGTAATTTATAACAGTAAAGCTACCACCCACATCAAGATACTGAAAATTGATCCTACATATGAATGCCACATAGATTCGTATGCAAAATATTTTGTAATATCCTTATTTCTTCCTATAAAAATATTGCTATTTCTGTGACCTGAAGAGTTTCTATTGGCCTTTAAACCTTTTGAACTTTTGTTTAATACAAATATGAATATCCCAGATCAGAGATTGGTTTTTTTACTCAATTTGGATCTTATTAATTGGGAATTGAATCAGCTTATTAGTGTGATGACTTATGTCAATCTCTTTATGCTAATTTTAAAGCTTCCTTGCTTTTTTTCTTTGCTACTTTTCTTGGTTTTTCATTTCTGTTTAATTCCAAAAGCTTAGTATGTGCATATCCTTCTGTCCACAACTCAACAGTTTTGACTTATATGAGCTACTATATGACTTATATGTAGTAACCACTGTTTTTCCCTATTCATTATATAAAACAAGGTTTTACACCCCTCCAACCTGTATTTTGGAAATTTTCTCTTTATACCATCAGTCTTAACATTATAGACAGACTTGCTAGGTTTTTGCTTTCCTCTGTAATTAAACATAAGGGAAATAAAACTGTATTGTTTTCCAATTTTGTCAGATTAACATTTAGAATATCTTCATTGTACTTATCCTGTCCGTTGTAACAAAAGAACTTTTATATACATTTGGCTTAACAACATACATCTTTATATTCCTACTTGGCAGAAATAAAACAATATTTGCATTAAATATTTGATATGTTCTTTCACAGTTTGAAATGACATAAACTGAGAATTTTAGGTCTAGCTCACAAATCTATTTTTGAATTTAATTTTATAAAAATTTTAGACTTTATGCTTCTTAACTAGTTTTAATACTTACCATCAATTTCTTCACATAACTATCTCCCTACTCTTTAGTTATTTTTACTTCATGTTCTCTGCTGGCTTCAATAAATCATTAAGCAAAATTTTCAAAGACTCTTGGTCAATATACTTTAACCCCTGGGTGACTGAGAATGTCTTCTGGTTGCCTTTATACAGAAATAATAACTCGGCAGGGTATGTAATTCTTGGTTCCATTTATTCTTGGTTCAATTTGACCAGTTTTTTACACTGATCCTACCAATTTTTCATTACCTATCACTTTTTCATGTTCCATGTCTTACTCAGCTTCAATTCTGAAGA